TTCAACATAAACTGATATCTTCAAATCATAAAAAAAGAATTAGGAAAGCTTTTAAATTAATATGCTGCTTTTTCATGTTGAACATTTTCAATAATATAAACAGGGAATCCACTGCAATAGTTATCGATTATAAACAGTTCGAGGGAAAAAAACTAGATAATAAATCTTAAAATAAGAAAACTGATTAAAAGTTTATTTTGTAACATTTTCTGCTAATCTAAGAAAAAGAGGAAATGTCAGCAAGTAATGCCCTTTACAAAAAAATTGTCTGACTTAAGCTCATAATTCATACCTTGAGACCATTAGCAAGAAAAATCCAGCTACTTTAATTCCTGCCATATATAAGTCAGGGAAAGAAGGTTTCCAAAACCCAAGAGAATTTAAATCATACAGAAATGCATAGATGCCCAGCATGGGTCATCTTTTGAGCCAGTAATGAATGCAGTTCAGGCAGGAGGAAGAAAAAAATTAAAATGTTTTAGCAGAAAAACTTTCAAATCAAGCTGGGCTGCCCAGGAAAAGAAGTTTTAAAATCATGCCCAAGGAAAGAAAAGAGAAAAATAATGACAACACGACAACAAAATAAATGAAAAACCTATAAGCTGCTGAGGATCTTCCACTGTTAAAACAAGTTAGTTGACAAAAGTCTGGATGAGTTATGGTTGTGACAAAGGGAGTGAGGAGGTCAGTTTATATAGCATCTCTGGACACTAGGAATTCCCAAATTACAGGTCACCAGCCAATTGCATCAGAATCATTTAAGGGGCCTAAAAAAAAAAGATACAGACTCCTGGACCCCACACCAAACCTAGTGAACCAGAATCGCTAAGGTTTGGGAACCAGGAATATGCATTTATTTATAAAAGTCTACCAAGTTTATAAACTGCAGCTTATACCACAGCCCAGTGACTGTTAATCCAGCCTCTACTTGAAACTCTGCTATTAGTGATGAGAAGCTTGTACCAAAGAAGGCAGCCCACAGAGAAGTCAGAACTCTCTGCTTAGGAAGGTAGTATTGGTAGCTTGAAATTGGCCATAGCAGGCGTATTAACACTATAGAAACCAGTAAATGCAAATCAGGCCTTGATGTGCTGTTTTGCAGGCTGTCTAGGGCAGGAGTGGGCAGACACGGCCCCCCAGGTGGGCTGGCTGTGTTTGCGAACAAAGTTTTACTGGAATACAGTCACCTCCACTCGTTTATATGTTGTCCTTGGCCCGAAAGCCCAAACTATTTACTCTCTGGTCCTTTATAGACAATGTTCGCTGCTTTTTCCTAGATACAAGCTCTAGACTTCAGAAGTTGGTGGAGAAAATAAAATGCTAATAATACAGATGAGACTTCAAATTGCACCGTTACATTGCAAATAGCACACACACACACACAAATAAAGAAATACAAATCCAGTACTCATTAACTATCATCTGGCTCAACAGACAAGGTGCTGAGCTCACCGACACAGAAGTGTGAAGTCCCGACATGCATCTCCCTTGTTCACTGTGGTCTTACGTGTTAACTTTAATGAAAACAGTCATGTTGGAACGACACTTGTTCATCGACTACAACTGTAGGTTGGTGACTGATAAAGAAGTTCAGCAAAAATCAACAGAAGCATTCTGTCTCTATTTTTTATTATTTGTAAATTGTGTGCTACACACCCTTTACATAAGTAAAATTTATGATAGATATATATGTGAGATACACACACACACACTTTTTTCCCACAGAGCTGGTTGTTGAACATTTACCAGCAAATTCCTGAAGACTACTATCCAATCAGTTGCTCTTTCTTGAAGCCTTTCTTTCTTTTATTCCCACATACTAATCTACTAGCAAGAACGTCAGCTCTCCCTCCAAAATATGTTCCATATGCATCCACTTGTCACAATCTCTACTGCCATTGCACCAGTCCAAGCTCCTTCCATGTCTCACCACAGGGCCTTTGCACTTGTCTCCCTGATGCCAATCTTACCCTCTAAAACCAATTCTTGGCACAGCAGCTAGAAAGAACTTTTAAAAATTGAAACTACTCCATAGGAAATCCCCTTAGAATAAGTCCTTTTAGAATAAAACCCAAACTCCTTGCCAGATCATACGAGCCCTGCATTCGGGCACCCTGCCCTCACCCCTCTGACCTTATTACGTACCCCATCAAGCTGATGCCTGTCTTCAAGCCTTTGCTCTTCCTTGGCAAGGAAGGTGCTGCTCCCAGACCTTTACCTTACTGGCTTCTAGACATTTTGCAACAGCTTGAGTGTGGCTCCCTCAGAGAGGCCTTCCTGTCTACCCAATCTAAAGCAGTGTGTCCACGGGCTCGTCCCGAGGTCACCTTAGCCCGGGGTGCTGTTTCAGTTGCCTCCTGCCATGCTGCACTACTTGAATTATCTTTTCTTGTTCACTAGTTTGTCATCACATACCACTCTGCCTGCATTGCTTACCACTCTATCCCCAGAGTCTAGAATGTACCAGGCAAATCACAGGCATTTAAAAAACACTGGTTGAATGAATGATGAACAAATGAACAAAGAAAGGAAAACTCGTGTTCTCTGACTCCAAGTTCAGAGCTCTTCCCACCAGAGTACGATACTTTCTGTTTTGGAGTGACAGCTCTACATGTTAGCCCATTGTTCCTTGTAGGAAAGCTACCATCTCCTAGAAGTGTCCCAATCACGAGTTTAGGTTCTTGTAACCTGGCTTCTGCCTACCTCTCCAGGCTCAGATCTGACCCTCACTAGTGTGCTTTACTCTCAACACATCAGCAACACTAAACTGCTGTTCCTATAGTTCAGTTTCAGCACTTTTGTAGTAATTATCGAGACAGCCTTGCAACTTCATGAATCTCTTGTTTTGTGAATGCTGCTTTGGCCCAACTTATTTCTAGGGCAAGTTCCTATTCAGCTTTAAAACCTGTCTCAAATGCAAGCCCATCGATGGCTCCCTCCATGTGCCTTAGTCACTCACGCCAGCAGGGTTATCTCCTACAGCTTCTACAGCCTTGATTATTGCACTCATAACTCTGGTCATTGCATTGGAATGTGTTTTCAAGTCTGAGATTCCAGGGCCCATGGTTGCTGTCATTTTTGTACCTCTGGGACTTAGTACCGCACTTACATACATTATAGGACATCAACAAACTGTTGCTAAATTGAACACACAATTTATTGACGTCTAATCCCTCTCGCAAGAAATCTGAAGACAGCTAGAACTCTATTCATTGCTCACCCTCCTCGTAAGTGTTCTCTGTTCAAGCTAAACCTGTAAACCAGGAGATAATGATCACTAAAGCCAGACAGATGCTATACTTACAAAGCAAAGCTAATAAAATAAGACAGAAATATGCTAACGTCAATAAACACGTACACGTGAATAACCCCATGATAACGCCTGGTGACTGGACGATGCTGACTTCCACTTTTCCCACAGTCTACTCTACTTTTCCTAAGGCACATCATCTGTTTTGTTAAATTCAATATGTTGTTTTACTCCCTTAACAAGCCTCTCATTCTAACTCTCCTCTTATTATTCATTATGTATTATTGTTTATTATTTATGTATTACTATTAACACTCAGGGTCATCTTCTTGTTTCTATTCTTTTTATTTACCCTCCAAATCTTGCCAGCTCTCTGCCTGTGACTCCTCTCATGCTGGATCCTTCTTCTCTATTTCTTTACCTCGTAGTCCAGGCTCTTAGCCACTCATGCCTTGATGAATGGATTATACAGCTGGACTTCTATGGCAAGTGTTTCCCTTATTCTAGATCATTCTGTGCAGCTAAGACAACCTTCCTCTAATTAATATCTGCAGCAGGCCACTCCCTCAGCACTAGAGACTTGCGCAGCAATCCCCTTTGCCCACCCTGTGATACCCAAACACCTCAGAGATACAGAAAGCTCTTTCTTTGTGTCCTCCTCATACCCAGTCAAACTGAGAGCTGTTTAGTCCCACGTTAGCACCACTGACCCAACAAGCTAACTCATTTGTCAAACCTAAGCCTAAAAGTATTTCTTGCTTCTTCTCTTTTTCTCATCCCTGACAACCAATTTCACCAAGTCATATTGATTCTACCTTCTCAATGCCTGTTGAATCCATGCACTTCTCCCCAGCTCCACGTCAACATCATGGTCCCAGTCATCCTTGTCTCTCCCCTGGACCACGGAAGAGCCTTCGCTGTCATCACTCTGCTTCCACTCTTGTCTTTCTATAGTTTCCAGACGGGAGCAGTAACTCTAAGCACATGCGGGCTTCCCACTCATCTCAGAATAAAATCCTAATTCCTTGCCATGTCCCACAGCCAGATTCATGGTCTGGATCTTGCTGATTTTCCACATACCATCACCCGACTCCCTCTTTCCATCACAAGACAGGAGCCCCTCTGCTCTCTTTTCGGAGCCTCGGGTCCCTGCACTTGCTGTTTCAATTGCTTGAAATGACCTTCCCCTGGCTTTTCCCATGGTCAACAATTTCTCATCCTTCAGCTTTCGACTCAAAACTGTTTCTTCAGACAGGCATTCTATAACCATCTTTCTAAAGTGGCCGTTATGCTCTGTCCACTCCAGGGTAAGAACTTAATCTTACTGCCCACTGTGTCTGAAGCACTTACCATAATTTCTAGCATAAATCATGTTTTCAGTAATACATACTGGATGAATGAGATAACTCGTTATGCATTTAGGACACTTTCTTCACTTCTATCTTTGCTCATGCATATCCTCCACCTGGAAGGCCCTCCTACTCTGTTTTTACCAACCAGTGTCCATTATTGATTCTGTGACACAACTTAAGATTCACGTCACAAAGAAACGCTTTCTATCATACTTTAATTTTTTTCTTCACACAAAGAAGTTTTGGCTTAACATAATAATGCTTAACACAGAGCCTGGAACACAGGCAGTGCTCAGTAAACATCAGCTATTATCCTTCTTACTCTCATTACATAAACGAGGATCATTTCCTTTGGCCTGTTGCTTTTCCCATCCCAGACGTTCAGATTTGACACTCACAGGGTTAGAATGCAGCACGGTGAAGAACTCTGGGCTGATGAGGAACTTCACGGGGGGAGACTGTAACAGCAACGTGAGCCTGGATCTGGAGGTAGAGTGAGGCAGGACGCTCTCCCGTCGGAAATCTAGATGGGGCAGACCACAAAGGCTTCAGGGACACATATCTATTCACTTCCATCTACATTTTCAAAGAACCAAAGAATACCTATATCACTTGCTATTATTTTAATCCCCAAAGTACCTTTTCCTTTGCTGTAAATTCATATATAAAACCTGACTTTCTGAATTACACCAAAATGGAATTGAATAAAATTTCTAGTCACTGTTAACATTTTAATGCATGCTTAGATTTTTTAAGTGATGGGATTTAATCTTTTTCCACTATCTCACACATGCAGATATTAAGGTAATTTATATTGTATTTGGTTTTGTGATTCTTTTCTTAGTACTAATAAAAAGTCAAGGATTGGAAGGGGCCGGCTCCATGGCCAACTGCTTAAGTTCGCACTCTCTGCTGTGGCGGCCCAAGGTTTTGCTGTTTCGCTGGTTCGGAGCCTGGGCGCGGACATGGTACCACTGGTCAGGCCATGCTGAGGTGGCATCCCACGTGCCACAACCAGAAGGACCTACAACTAAAACATACAACTATGCACTGGGGGGATTTGGGGAGAAGAAGAAGAAAAAAAAAATTGGCAAGAAATGTTAGCTCAGGTGCCAATCTTTACAATAAATAAATAAACAAAATTAAATTTTAAAAAGTCAAGGATTGGAAGAGGTCTCTGGTGAATGAAACTTTTTGAGTTGGGTTATCAGATCTTAATGAAGATCAAAAGTTCACTAAAAGAAAAACCTCGGTTCTTGGAAATCCTTACTTAGTTGTTTTCTACTTTTGTGAGATGATGAAACAAACCAACCCAAAGGCTCTTACCCGCACTGGCGTGGTGGAAGTCAGCTTCCTCCCCGGCCCCATCGATCGCACTGGCATTTTCCTCAGGCCTCTCGTTCGTCATGGTTCTGCGGATACTCTGATATCTAAAGTCATGAGCCTGGAGTTACATCACAGCGGCCTCTAAAACCTGGGACTCGACCGCTCCCCTATAGCCCACAAGTTTTCACTGTCTTCTCACCCTCAACCATCTTCTGCCCAGACCCCTATTCCCTGACCGTCTGGGCCATCTGTTGTTTAAGTAAACACATTGCATTGAATTTCTTCTGTTCATGGCTTAGGAAACATTTTCCTAACAAATTAATAAAACTTTTTTTAAAAAGCATGGCCCTTAACCAAAGAAAATTAAATTCCTATAGTGTTAAAGAAAAGAACTTTTTATTCCATAGCAATTCGTTTTTGAAAAAGAATGACATTTAAAAGGCTTTGGTTGATAAAGAAGCATCATGAATGAAGATTCTAGATATCTATAAAAAGCTATTTGTCTTCAAATTATGAATGTACGTGCTGTTTTACTAAAAATCAATGCCTTGGGTTGACAGAAGGGGTCATCATTACTTATTTCCTCTCTTGTTTCCAATCAAGCTGTGTATGTGTATGGTTATTACTTTCTTAACCAAGAGAAGATCAATGAAGTCTACGAATCAAAAGAGGTAACAGCTACACCTTAATGACAAGACACCCAAAGACGAAAGAGACAACCGTGTTCTCTACTTTGCACCATGTAAAAATTAGCCCAACCGCAAAACAGAAGAGTCAGACCAAGGCGCGCGTGCTCACCGCCGGTTCAGCTGCTCCATCTGCTGTATGGAGTTCGAGCGCTGCAGCACCTGCGGGGCGGGAGGCGCTGTGGGCCGCTGCCACGTCGTGGTTCTGTTTACGTGGTCCACGTAGAAGATCCTGCCGTGGCTGTCAATGCGCGCCTCCCAGTCTAAACAGCAGCAACGCACCGAGAGGGGTTAGGAGGAGAAGCCAAAGGCATCAGCGTGGTTCATTAAGTGCAGCACGTGATTTCTCTCTCAGACACGCTATAATTTGGGGCTAATAACACTCCCCTCACTGCATAATCCCGCACTTGCCCCCAGTCCACACCAGAATCTGTTGTGGCCGGTTAGTAAATATACTCTGTGTGTATAACACCAACCCCTTAAAGAATCTCTGAATGAAGAGACTCTTCCAGACCCACCCACAATGCTCATCCTTCACGTATGAGTGCCAGAATTTTAAAAATACAAGCAGTTGGTATCATAATACTTTAGATATTCACATCAAAATTGGTATTGATGTTTGTTTTCACCCAAAATGGATTTTTCTCTGTCTTTTCCAACTTAGATGAAAGACTCAGAGTTGGAAATTTCCACGTGCATATTTACATAAAATTTTAATAAATGTAGTCTTCAGAAGAAAATAATGCTAGCCTAGTGGTTAAACAGTATCATTATCTACAAACTTCCATTTGCAGTTTCCCAAAGATGAATACATTTTTAGAGCAAGGGTAATTACTTTCCTCCAATCTCAAATAAATACAATGTTTTAAAAGATTATTTAATTTTATGTTGAAGCAATCTCATTGCTGAAGTGTGTTAATCTTTGTAAACAAATATGTAAGTGCATGTTAAATAAAAACAGCAAGCAGACTGGTCTTCAGAGCCAGCCATCCCACCTCTGTGACTCTCTAAAAGGCCATTCCCCTATTAAAATATGAAGAGGTGTGCTGATCTTTGCAAAAGGCAAAAATTTTGAAACTGATGCAAGTTGGGAAGGGTAATTTATATAGGAACACGTGAAAACAGCAGAGATCTATGCTTTAACCAGGAAAGTTCCTTATACATTTCTATTTATCTGTAAATTAATTTTTGAAATTAGTAAGCACCTTTCTCCTGAGCAGCTAGATTATTTCAAAACTCTCCATGTGCTCACATAGCTCATAACAGACACCATGGTCTAATCCTGGAGGCGAGGAGGAAGGCAGGTTTGCTCCTGACCACCGGTGGCATTTGCTCTGGAGGTGAATGGAGCAAGGACAAGGATTCCAACAAAGTCCTTAGGGTTGGAAAGACCTGCCTGGAAGATCCCAGCCAGCTCCAGGCAATCACTGAAGGCTGCCTTCGTGGGGAGTGGAAAAGATTTTCTTGTTGTTGATCTCAGCACATGGTGATTTATGACAAATGGCAAGAGAAAGAAAAATTGGGCTGAGGAAGAGCACCACACAAACAGCAAATAACTCAATGTCTCATCCTCCAAGGTAAGCTAGACTCACAATGAACCAGCCTGCCAAATCTGAATTCACAGCCACAGTCCCAGCAGTAGGACATTTCCAAAAGACCTCATGCTCAGCCTGCCATATGCTGACAAACAGGAAGTACATTAAGCATTTTCAGGAACTGTTTTCCAAAACCGTTTGATCTATTCCAGTGTGTTGCCTTGCTCCTTGAGTACTTTCCCATCTCGAAAACTTTGAGAGCCGATTATTCCCATCGCATTCCTTTCTCCTTAGAGCCAGAGTCATTCAAGCACATGTTATATGTCAAATCAAATGCATATAAAAACAAATGGCCATTCCTTCCCCCAAGAATGTTTACAGTAGCTTCCAATTTTAAAAAATGTAGAATAGGTCAATTAGGGATAAAAACAGAACAGAAACCAACTAAAGGAAGCAGAAAGAGAGACGCTGCCAAACTCCCAAGATAAGATTGTAAGTAAAATTTGGCTCTAAGTTTTCTGGCAGCCAAGGCAGAAAAGAAAACACATTGTTGCATACTTTCCACTTGCTGACAAAAGAAAGTCAAAAAATTATCTTCAAAGATGGAACTTTTTCCTTGAACAAACTGAATAAAAATTTACCTCATGGAATGTGGTCTGGACGAGGCCCATATGGGGGTGGGGGTGAATCTCCAAATGTGTTCACCACTGTGCCTTGCACACAGCATGTAATGAATGAACAAATAATTTAAACAACATAAAGCCATAAAGAAGAATGATTCTTGTATTCACTTTCTGCAAAGGTTATTAAGGTAATAACCTTAATTTGTATTTCCGTAAAGACATTTCTATGTGCAATAGGGAGAATAAGAAAATAAGTTCTGAAAATTTGCTTTCTAAGAACACAGGACATTGGATGCACATTAAGACCAGCCCTATCAAATATCGTATCTTTAAATCAAGGTTGTCACTTGGGTCTCCATAAAGAGAAATGCTATATTGCTGGTTTCAAGTGGACACTTGGCAGTGGATAGGGAAAGACGGTTATGCTGCTGACTTATTCATGAACTACATATGCACTCTTCTTCAAGTGGAAGTCCAGACAGACAGTGGAGGAGCCAGTAGGAAAGATAGCTCTCTAGTGTATCTATCAGAGTTACTTCGTGGGGTGGAAATGAGGGTACTGCTGCTTTAACATCTGATAAGTTTTTATATTGGCCACAGTTTGTTCTTGGTACAAGAAAGCATATGAGCACTCGTCCAAGTTTTCTCTCACAGACAATGCTAAAATCAGACAGGCAGGGTTAGAAGACTGGGATTGTAGCATTTACTCCCTTGTCTTGTCACACTATGAAGTGGGGTCTATGATCAGCGTGCAGCGAGCCTGAGAACAACATATCAGGGTATGCGTGTGTAGTGCACTAAACTGGGAAGTAGAAGGCCTGGTTTCTGGCCATGGCTTTGTCATGCCTTTGCTACATGACCTTCAACAAATTACTATAACTCTATGGACTACAGTTTCTTTACCTGAAAAATTAGAGGACAGAATTAAACATTTCTAAGGTCCCTTTCAGTTCTAAAATTATTATGAATCTGCAAAATGATTTTACTACATTAGGCTCAGGAAGAATCTAGCAATATCTTGTCTAGGCCACAATTTCCAAATTTAACTCTAATTAAATTTAAGCCTTATAGCGCCAGGGGCTTTGGGGTCCTGAGGGGTAGGGCTCTGGAACCACCTGCCAGTCCCATTTTAGCCACTGCAGCTCAGTATTATCTGTTGCACATATTGGTCTTCCACCTAAGATTTCATTTGCCTTAAGAGCCACAGCAGTGATAAAGTTTGAAAACTATTATTTAGAGAACTGTTTCTTAAGCTGTGAGACTCAGCCTGTGTCAGGATTACTCGAGGATCAATAAAAACACAGATGCCCAGGATACATCTCATGTCTTCAGAATCAGACTATGTGAAACTAGGACTCAGTTAGCTACATTTTTAACAACCTTTCCAGGTGATTCCTGGACACACTAACGTAACACTGACGTAAATTACTAAGAACTTAAAACAGCAGTTAATGTATTGGACAAACCATGGAGCTCATGATAGATTTCTCAGAGGTCTTCAAGGACAAGCTCACAAGAAACTAAACTTTAGCCTGAACACCCCAAACGGAAATCCAGGAGCAAGTAGATGTGGAGACAGCCTGAAACTCAAATATAATAGCACCTTGAAATAGCTGAACAATAAGGGGAAGTCCGAGAGTTAGAAAGCATGTAAAATTATGCAAGGCCTACTGTCACGGCATCAATCCCTAGACAGGACACCAGAGGCAGGAATATGTGAGGTTGTAGACATTTTCAACTTTGAGAACCAGCATGTTTGGGAAGGGGGCAGGAGTTGTCCCTATGATTCCTCTGTCGTCACTCTTCTTTCTGACTCCCTTCAAACCACTCCTTGGTCTCCACTGTACCATCCAGGTGATCAGATGAAGATATGAACACATCTCAGTGAATGCTGAGCCTGGGAAGAAAGTGTCTAGACAGAATGAATCACCTACCAGGGGAAACCAGCATCAGGCTGTCTACATGAATCAAAGACGTGAGAGGACTCTGAGTGGGGCTTGAACTGGTTCCAACTGGATTTAGACACACGAAGTACTTGAACATTGTAAAACAAATTTATAAACCCCGTATACAAAAGTTATAATAACCATGGTATCTTCACCAAAATGGCAAGATGATGAAGTTATAATGAACTAAAGGCACTTTAAGGAAAAAAATTAAGCTTTGTGATAAATGCTAGACAGCAGTGTTTAAAAGATTATTTTTTTCCTTATTTTAATAGTCAAGGAAGTATGATACCATTTGTGTAAAGTACAAAAGTGAAACTTATCTATGATTTTGGGAGGCAGGATAGTCACTCCTCTTCCCCTTCAGAAGCGGGGTTAGTGACTGGAAGAGGCACAAAGGGACCTGCAGGTGCCAGTGCTATGGTGCTGGTTGCAGAGGCGTGTTCATTTTGGGAGAATCTGCTTTATTCTGTATGTATATTATATTTGAATAAAAAGTTTAAAAAGAATCTCAAGTAGCTGCATATTTTGGACCTTAATATTCAACTTTTAAGAAAGTAGCTTTTTAGATTAAAAGTATCAATTATTTTCTCAAAACTACCTTTTAGGCTGTAGAGCATAAGAGCTCCTAGCCTTAAACATAGTAGAAACTCTAAGTGAGGATTAATTATACTTTTCAGATTCACTGTCTTGTTTTAAACTTTCATTTCAAAGGATGCTTTAATAATGAAAGTGCATAACCGCAAAAATGATAAACATTCCCTCGTGTTTTTCCAGACCTACCCATTTGAACCCACCACATAAGTAACACATTAGTCCTAACGCTATGGCAACAATCCTGGGATCCTATGAGCCCATTAATCCAGACTGTTCATCCTGAATCTGTTCCAATTCCTACCCTTTTGGGGGAAAAACACTTATTCAACAATTCCCTTTTGTCTCCAGTGCAGCAATGGGTTAAGTCACAATTACACTGGAGCCAAAAGAGAAAAATAAAATAATTTTTCAGAAGGGGCTGAGCTGGCCATTCTTTTTTCACTTATCTTAATGCTAAAAAGACCAAGATTTGTCATGCTGACGATGTTCTAGTGGACTTCAGCCCTGAGCGGCCTCCAGCCCAGCACCATCAATCATCTCAGAGCAAGACGCAGCACATTCTTAAGACCCTCAGCGCAGATTCAAGTTCAAGCTGCTCCCTGGGAGGCTCTCAACAGCGCCTCGCTGCCCTCGAGATCTGGCACTTTCTTATTTTGTATGGATCATTAGGATATCTCTCAACCAGCGGTTGGAGTTACATAGCCCACAAGGTCACAGCAAGGTCCATAGCCTAAAGCAAGAGTAAGATTTGGAGAACCAATTGGTGGATCATCATCACAGCTGAGCAGTCTTTGTACTAAGTCTGAGGTCTGTTCCCAGATCCTGAGGCCAGAGGAAGAGGACTACAAGAACGAGCAAACAAACAAGGAAAATTGCTTTGCAACAAAAGAGATCAACTCAATGTTCAGAGACTAAGTTCTAACACTGACGAGAAGACCAGCACAGGGCCAGCTCTAAGAGTGAGGCAGCACAGCAAGGGCACCACGGACTCCCCCTAATTGAGTGGGGAAATCTTCAGAGAAAAGCATAAGTTTGCTGGATGCTTTCCTCACTATATGTTAGTACACAAGTATTTTTAAGGTGAAAATGAGCTAAAATAACAACAATAATCATAAGGAAAAAGAAAAGCAAGAATCAAGAATGAGCGGCATCAGAGCTCCAGGCGCAATGTTTCAGACGCCTGTCCTGCAGGTCTGGGGATGTGACCTGCACACCCTCCAGAGAGGAAAAGGCAATTCTGAGTCTGATACAGACGCTTCACAGAGCAGACCTGTCTGGGGTCTGGGCCATGAGATAGTTGCTCATCCAGTGACTGTGACCACTTCTTTTATAATGAGGCCCTCCGCTGGGAAGAAGGAGAAGAAAGCTGAGCACCTTTTGAGCTTTCCTAGGTCTGACCTCAAAACCTACAATACAATAAACTTTCAGTGAAACTCCCAAACCCTTTGCTTTGAAGTGTCGTGTGCGCCTAATAGATAACATAACCAGGCTTTCAGAATTTACATTCCCCACCCACACAATAGTCCCGCCCCTTCTAATCTTAGACCAGAATACCTAACAGAAGAGAAGGAATGTCTGAGCCTCTGTCTCAACTCTCACTAGTATGCAATCTTAAGCAAGTTACTTAATTTATCCAGGCTTCAATTTCTCCATCTATAAAATTAAAGAATCAGATTAGCTGGTTTTCACCCATACATCTATGAATTACAGGCAAGACCTGCTTGACCTACCTCACAAAATTGTTACAAAGAATAAAAAACAGATAAAGCATGTAAAAGATCTTTGTAAACTGTAAGTAACTACACAAGTTTGAGCTATTAAAATTAATAGTGTTAAAAGTCTAAGTCTTGGCCTTAAAAGAATTCAGCCAGGTCATTTAAGAGACGGATCAGTCTGCACGCTCCAACCAGATGCCCCTTAGCTGAGCCTCCCGGGAGACGCAGTGTGAAGGCAGAAGGCAGAAGTAAAGGCGGAATGCAGAATGCCCAGCTCTAAGGTAGAGGCACTGCCAGAGAGAGCAGCAGAGTTGCCCGGTGAGGAAAGGAAGGCAGAGAACAGGCTGGGATGGAGACAGACAACAAGCAGGGGCAGCAAAGTGTTAATAGACCGTTGGAAGGAGGAAACAGACTGGTGATAGGAAGGGGCAAAGCAGTGTGGGGACAGCTTTGAACAGTTATCAGGTATGCTCAGACCATAATCTGTAACGCATCCCTGATAATACAAATCCCCAAATTTGCAAGTTGCATAAGAGGGAATATGTCTTAAGAATTTTCTTCCTGTTCATCAGTCACTATTAAATTGGACATACTATTAAATTTTTTTTTTTTTACTTTTGGATTTATCAACATATTAAAATGAACTGCCAATTGTTTATTTTTAAAAATTCTAAGATGTACTCTGTGTAACACAAATATCAGTGTTTAAACAAATGCATTGAACTATCACAAATAGTGGTCATAATTTCAGCAAGAAAGTGCCTGTCTTTATTGAATGCAATCTAGAGACCCATATTATGGTCCAACAAAATTCAGAGCTATTGGATGTAGCCGGGAGAAGGCCATTTATCCACACATAGCGCAATACTATGCCTCCTGTCCAGGCCCCTGAAACTCTAATTCCTTACTAGTAATCCACATACCCCTATAAATAAAGCTCTCCCAGAATTCTCTCCTCGTGTTCCTAATTCATTTTCCTCCAGTTATATCTAAATATCTCCCAGGGATATTTATCTTTTCTGCCTCTAATTTTTTTCCAAGGGTAAACAATAAAGAAGGGTTTTTCCCCCCATCTGCTTAAGATAACACAATGGTTAATTAATTTTAGTCTATTTTTTAAAACTGCTTAAAACATATGTTTCCTATGAGAAACCATCCTCAGTTACCTAAATACATGAACAAGAGAAGGATCTGCAGACAAGAGAATTTCCAAAGGCTCAAGCCAATATTTTGATGAATTGTACATAGTTACCATTCAGTTTTCTGTCAGCACTCACCAAAACTAACCACTTGGCATTTTAGCCCTTTAAATGCATAGTCCCTCCCTTTATGTCCCACCATTTTTAAAACCCTGAGGGCCAAAGGCCTCAGCCTCTTGTCACGGTCACACATAAGAGGGGTGAGTAGAGACAGTGGATGAGAAGGAAAAGCAATAAGGCTGAAACACGTATTTCCAATGTTTCTTAAAAAGCAGTATTTACTGAGCTTTATTACTCTTCATCAAAATGCTTTGCTCTCACAGAGCAATATTGCTTTAAGGGATTGTAGAAACTTAAACAGAATTTAAATTATGTCAAGATTATGATTGGCGATGGGTAGCACTCTGACCTTTGAATTCAGGTTACACAACTATTTCCCAGCATCCCAGATCATCAACCATCTCTCCTTTAACTGCTATGTGTTTCTTGAAAGCGAGAGAAATAAATTATCTTTCAAATCCCCGGATAATTGTCATGATCCAGATAAATGGTAGACTAATTTCTGAAATTAATAACACTTCTCTGAATATCCCTAAGAAAAGAAATCAGGGGTCTGTATTTAATGATTTATAATGTTGTAAGTGAATAAAAAGCAGTATATTACACAGAAGGAGGCTTTTCTAAGATGATACCAACTTGTCTACTAACCGAAAATTCATGCCACCGGTTGGGCACAGTTTTGAAAAATTCTATTATATACCCAACTATCCAAAATATCTGGATCTAATTTCCTGATTACAATATTTACTCCATGACATTATAGTATTTACTCTTCCCCCAGCTGCCCTTTCATTCGGAGGAACAGTGCGAGACAGCAGTCATCAGCCTAGCACTTTCCAGACTACATCTAATATCTCCAGATCCCTTCACCTCAGGGACTGGGCAGCCATCTTTTAGGTCCTGTGGGTCCTGCCACCCTTGCCCCCTTTGATCAAGGTGAGCCCTTTAGTTAACAGGTCCTCACTTGGTGGGAGAGCCTCGTCCACCCTCTGGTACCGGCTAACATCCTGGCGCACTGAAGGCAGTGATCGCAATGGCTGGTGGCCGTTGGCTTGAGAACCTAGGATTAAAGGTAAAAAGTTACCCAGGTATTGTTTTCCCCATCAATGTCAAAACAGCCTTTGCAAAAAAACATCTAACATCTAATTTCTGGGGCTAATCTTTTATCACTCTTTCGTCTTATTTCCCGTATGAGGAACCAGAAACTAAAGAGGACAACAGCAGGTGAATGCTCAGTCAGAAGCGGGTCCTCTAGGCAGACGTCTGTCCCTCCCTACCTTTTCCCATGGGGGCCTCTGTCCTGCTCACGCACTAACGCTTCAGGCTCACATAATGGACGCAAGATAATGAAGGAAACAAGAACAAAGCAAAAAAAGGAGGAGGAAGAAAAGAAGGGGATACTTTAGGTAGAAAAATAAATTGCAGAACAAGAAAATCCTTCCTATTTCTGAGTCTACGCTATTTAGGCGTATGAAATTATCCTTAGACTTTCTGATGCATCTATAATAGAACATTTTAAAAGAGCCATTCTACCGAGCCACATTCATTAAGACATAATACAAATTTCAGGTGTAAATTCGCCTCCTCAGACACTCAAACAGCTCTCCTTCAAGTCTCAGAATGCATCACCTATCTTAGTTGGCATTTCTTTTTTTTGAGGTGACATTTCTCATACTGCAGAAGGCAAAAATATCACATTTGATGCAAAGCACACATAACCTTCTGTTTTGAAGGTTTTATATAAGAAGGAGTGACTTCAGGAGTTCCCGGAAATCTCTGTGTATTACACTAGTGTAGAAGCCGCTGACCTGTTTGGTTTTGTATCTACAAACCCAGGTCTCACCAGAGATTCATTATTTGTTTTTTTAGCACTGCCCAGACAAGGGGACCCGGTTCTGGGCACCCAGGATGCCTTGTCCCACAGCACACACATGCACATGCGCAGTTTGCTCCTATGCACCAGCCCTCAGGCATCCAGGCCCTAGGACCTGTGTGGACAGGGGCCGCCCCGCCCACCAGGCCATCTTCCTGGGGAGGGCAAGTTCCCACACTGCACTCCTGATGCACAGCCTCCAAATTCATTATTTAAGTTGGAAGAGTATTATTTTACAGCCCTCTTATTTCAGCAATAGAAGATCCACTTATTTTTAAAAAAAAAGCTAATTGTTGAACCCCAAGGTGAAGAATTCAGAAAATCTTTGACGGGAGTGTAATTCACATTGAGGGACAAAACCACAAGACTTCTCTTTGAGCAGACGTGCTTGAGCCAAGAGCCATGCTGTCTTCTACATCCTACCTCCAGTGGCGCCCTCTTCTTGGCCAGTGGCCCCTTCGCAAGCCCCTTGGGCCTCACCAGCATCAGCCTCTTCTTGGGGCTGGCTCTCAGCAGCAGCAGCAGCTCCCTCCAGGCTCCCCCTCCGCTGCCAGACCTCCCCCACCTCCTCCTGGTCAGGTAAATTGGCTGATTCTGCCCCTGGCCCTTCCTCCTCTCCACTGGGCACCTGCAGCACAGGTAAAGAACCGGGAGTACATATGGAATCCTGGGGCCCGTCAGCAGGGCCGCTGCTGGTGGGCTCTGCTGCACAGGCTCCATCTTCCTCCTCCTGAGAAGAAAAGGCTGGGGTTTCGGGAAACCGCGCACTCTCCAGAGACGAGCACCGAGTCTCCACCGAGGACAGCTGTGTGGTAACGCTCTCATTGCAGGAGCTGTCCGCGCCTTCCAGGTCACTCTCTCCCTCAGGCCTGGTGCTGGCCTCGCTCACACTCTCTGTCCTGGCAGGGTCACTGGGTTCTGTTTCAGAGGACACCTGGGAAGGCTCAGACCCCTGATCCAGGGACTCAGTCTCACTGATGGCTCTTCGGCTTCCTCCAGATGTGTCGGAAGTGCCCGTGTCTGCTCCACTTGTGGGCTGATCTACTTCCTGAGAGCCACACAATTCGGTGCTGCCCTGGTCAGCACTTGGTTGAGACTCTGGGCCATTTTCAGTTTCCTCTGGGACAGGGCCTGAGGGTAAGGAGCTCTCTGCAAGCTCTGGAAGATTTTCTGGCTTATCTTCGAAGGAAGCGGCTTCATGTATGGAGGCTTCCTCCATCTCCAGTGGGTTGTCTTCTGGCTTTGTCTGAGATGTCAGACTCCCATCATCAGTTCTTGAAGCCCTGCTAAACATTATCAACCCTCCTTCCTCCTCCAAGGAAGATGGATAACCTAGGTCTTGCTGGAACTCGTGGTCTTCTTCATCGGAGTCGATATGAAGCATTGCATTGAGCCTCGTGTCGGTGGGAAAACTACTCCTCAGTTTCGGAGAGGCTCCCACGGACCTCTCTGAGCAGGTAGCTGCGCCCGGCCTGGAATGGCCATTTTGTTCAATAGCATCTAAGTAATCGTTGAGTGAATCCTGACGTCCTCTGGGAGGTGAGGCCCTGGAAGAAGTAGACGTTAACTCCTCTGTGTCTATTTCCAGAGTAGCGCTAGTCCTGAAAGAATGCTTGGGCGTCCCATCGGCACTCTCCTCAGAAACTGGGCCATTAGAACAAACCGTGCTGTCCTGATGGCCCCCTGGCAGGTCCTCCTCATCAGAAGGGCTTCCCAGGTCTCCATTCACAGTACCGACTCCAAGTATGGTGCCAACAGCTTCTGGAGAAGCATCTGAAGGAGAAAGCAGCATTTATGAAAATGAAGCAGCAATAAGGAAAGAACTTTTAATGTCCTATTCCTTTACCACCAATCAGTTCAAAGAATTTGGCCATCTAGGGGCTGGCCCCGTGGCCGAGTGGTTAAGTTCGCGCGCTCCGCTGCAGGCGGCCCAGTGTTTCGTTGGTTCGAATCCTGGGCGCGGACATGGCACTGCTCATCAGACCACGCTGAGGCAGCGTCCCACATGCCACAACTAGAAGGACCCACAACGAAGAATATACAACTATGTACTGGGGGGCTTTGGGGAGAAAAAGGAAAAAATAAAATCTTTAAAAAAAAAAAAAAAAAAGAATTTGGCCATCCCACTGAGGCCCTTTTACAGGACCACTGACTTGCTAAGATTCACTGTTCCTTATAAATTAATACATTGCCGGTAAGTTTGACTGGGCTGGAATTTCTACAGCTCAGTTTCTGAACGCAGGCATAAACCTAAGAGATATTTTTTGATAAATAGGCTTTTATATCTGCTTGGAAAACTCCAGCAGGTAATCCTTTGGTAGCTATTTTATTTTTGGAACAGGACACAAATCAATTCCATTCAAATGCAAACTGCAATTGAGTAAGATTTAACAGGTTCTTCCAACAGCGACATACTTATACAGATATCTCACCTTCATGCACAGAAGATGTAACCTCCACCTTAAACTGGAGGTACCCACTCACATGGTCAGCCGGGAGCCTTCTGCCAAGGTTGTAGCTCAACATCTGATCACTGTAAGAGGAGAAATGGTCCTTTCATCCTATGACACCAGGGCCAGCCTTCATCTCCTTCCCGTTGGCCACCCCCCAAATCCCACATATTGCTCTTAAAACTTTCAGACTTACAAGAAAATAAAAGGCTCAAAGGCATGTTACAGTCCAATGCAATATTATTCATTCACATAAACAAGTACTTATAAACCCAGGGATAAAAGGAGATCTTGTCATAAGGACAATTATTAGTAGATGCAGACAATCCAAAACAGTATTATTATATGATTTTTTTAAAGGGCACTGATTTGCTGTGTCACTGCCAAGGGTGACCATGGAAAGGGCATTTGAAAGTCATTAAGGAGCTGTGAAAAGCCTAAAATTTTAGGTGTTTTTTGACTCAGGTGTTAAAGTATAGAGGGCCTGGCTCCTTAGCACTTAGCACGATTGGAAGCTAGTTCTAAAAGGACACGCACAGGTAAGGATTGCCACTCGACGGCATGGAGGGCACCTGCTGCTGTCTTCTGCAACACAGGAGCTGGGAGTCAAGGGAGAGCAGTGTGAGAACAGGCCGCACCCTGACAGCTGTTCCAGCTGTGTGAGGGGCAGCAGGTGCTGAGCCTCCCCCTCCTCACGTGCAAAGGAAGGCGCTGGAGCTGCTGGCCCTCATTGGGGGGAGCCTGGTTCTCACTGATGCTCAGGGTGGCTTGTGAGCGGTCCTGACGGGACGGCTGGACAAGTTAGATGTGCCACTGGGGCGGGGTCTTGTCGCCACACCTGGTGGCATCCTGGAGGGGACCAGAACTGGGCTTGCCCAGTTTCTGCACCACCTTAGGCCCAGGCCCAGGCTACCAGCCTCCTCAAGGATTGAGTTGTCCATCATTTTCAATTCCCTGTTTATTTATCAAAGTCAAATGCAATTACATCATTTCCTTGTATGCAAGCAACTTTCATTCTGAATCTGATTTATTCTTAATTAAGGAAAATAATCAAAGGGACAGTACCAAATCTCACCATTTCTGCTCTCACACTGCCCTCTAATGGCAACTTCAGAAGGAAAGCAATGCGTCTACCTCATATTTGCACCGGTACACAGTTTAGAGCCTCTAGTCTGCTATTTATCATTAATCTGCGTAACTATTCTGTTTGCTCTTCTCTGCCCCCTCAGCACAAGTCTACATAGATGTTATCCATGGAAAAGAACATACGCTAATGTGAAATCCTAGTTCAAGAATTTCTTAAAACAATAAGATTATTTCCTTTACCTTTTTCTTTGTCTTCCCTAGAAACATGGTAATAATTTTTTTACTTGATTGATGCTTTTAAAATGCTTTGTTTCCCCACACTGAGTGTTTACTGTGTGCCACGCACACTCTGCTAAGGGCTCTGCCTCCCCGTGAGGGAGGTGGTGGCCCTGTTTTCTGGAGGAGGAAACTAAGGCACAGGGAGGGTAGGGACCTCGCCCAAGGCCAGACACCTGTTTAGTGACACAACCGGGATTAGAACACAGATTCATCTGACACAGAGCCCCTACTCTGCAGTCACCATATCATGATCTCATTTTAGGTATATTCTCAGCGATTCTAGGCTGCTTTTGGTAGCATGCATTTTAATGACATTTACTCGTGGCTCACCTCAATGCAACTGCTATCACAATGTTTTTTCTACTTAAACTGGAATTAAAACAAAATTTCTGTAAAGGCATATATAGGCGTTTGTAACTATTAGACATTACAGGTATGTTAAATGCTTTTACATTAGAGTGCTCAAATAACATTATAGAATGGCTCTATCTGCATAATACTCGCTTAGCACTGTCTTCCCAGCATTCAAACAGTGCCTGACTGCCTGACACACACAGGTGCTCCACCTTTGCCCACTAATGCATGAACCCAGCAGCAAACTGCATGGCCCTGCTCTCAACATCGTGCTTCCTCACTCATCTCTTTGGACATTCAGTCCTGGAATAATAAAATCGTCACTTCTTTGTAAAAAATAAACTGACTCTCCTTTCTTCCTCCTTGGCCAATAAAAGTAAAGTGTTGCTGTTGATGATAAAGATTTATAAAAGTGATGGATTTTAACTAGGAAATAAACGTTTAGGAGGAACCGTAAGGAGAGAACGGCATCCATCGGTTCTGCTCGCGATCACATTCCCCAACACAACACAGTGTTTAACATCTAGTCGACATTATATACATCTGCGTGTGCACAGACACACATATTTGTTGAACAAATGAGACTCTTTACTGGGAGAAAAGAATGTTAGCAGGTGTTAGTGCTGTTTATTAGCCAAACTGATAAGATACTCAGTTCAACTACTCAACCTATAAATACAGGAAATCCTCCCTATTCAGAGATTCTGAGTCAAGGGCTCCGTCTTTGCTGTGTGCCTGTCAGGGATTCACCTGCTTTCTTGTTCTCAACCAGTCGCATCTGAGTCATCCTGCCTGTTGCTGTGATATATTATTGTGAACAATATATTATATATGATTATGATATGTAATTATAAAGAATAAGTGCCAAGAACTCGCACTACCTGGCTGAGACAGTCTCTCACTGATGTGATCAGAGCAGTTCACAAAGCATGGGAAAGTGATGTGATTCTTGGACAGAATGCAGGCCACTCTATGAAAAATGTCACATTCAAACAAATGCTCTCAAAATAGTAATTAGCAAGGAGGTCTAGCCCATCCTCTAAAACCGAACCCTGTAAAACCTCAACCACTTCAGAGAGTTGCAATCTACCAAACATGTAAGTAATGAAAATCCAAACTTCTTCAAGATGTATCAATTACTTGATGAAAAGCAATAATTAGATCAGAAATATATATTTAGATGTTAATAGCTGATATACTAATGTGCACTGTCATTCTTACTTAATAAAGCAAATCCCTAAGTATCAGTAACAGAGAATGCTTTTAACGTACTTATATAGAAACATATCATAATTCCGAATTTTATGAGCTCATGCTGGACTTTCTTCCAGTATACATGGAATCCATGACCGGCATTTCTCTGGTGTCCAGTTCTTTAAAAGACTAAATGAAAAGTCAACAAGAGTTTCAAGCACTGACAAGATTTTATTTTCCCTTGATCATTCTTACTGGCATAGAGAAATCAACACTTCTACCAAGTGTCACAGGAATTTCCTAAATTACATGATTATAATTATATAAATTAAATGATAGATGTATTTCCCACGGTTAATTCTCACTCTTTATAATCTTTCACTTTCTATAAATCCTAAAAATAATTTTTAAAAATTTCCCAAAGTATATTACCTCTACAAGAAGCAATAATTATCCTTAAAAATGTGATTTCCCAGCTTTTATCAGATAAACCAGGACGCTAGAATGCAGTATAATATTTCTACTTCACATGGGCTGGCTCAACCACAATTCCATTGCCTATGATGACCAGAGAATTACAACTCACTGGTTTCAGATTTTGAAGGGGCCTTAGAGATCATCTGGTCTAAATGCTTTATTTTTCGGATAAGGAAACTAACGCCCAGGGAAACTGTGACTTCTGAAATAGGACAGTTAATTAGCAGCAGAATGAATATGAACCATCAAGCTCCCTCAGTTAGCTAGAGAAATGTAGCAACACCGCCAGTCCTTATAGGGTTCTAGAGCAAACTGATCTGAGCTCAAATCTCCGCTCCACCACTTGCTCGCTAGCCTCAGATTCCTCATCTCTGAAATGGGGATAATCCCATTATTTAACTAGCAGAGTTGTTGAGAAGATTACAGGAGCTAATGGGCGTGATGTTCTTAACTCCTGACATAGAGGAAGCTCTCAGCATCTTTCGTTTACTTTTGTTTTATACTCCTACTGCTACTGCTGTTACTACTTCTGCTGCTACTACTACTGTTACTGCTGCTGCTGCGACTACTACTGCTACCAATACCCTTACTACCACTACTGCTATTGCCACCTGTTCTTAATGTTCTCCTACAATGAAAAAGAGACAAGAAAGCTGCTCCCAGTGCTACCTCGGAGTACCAGTGTAACTGGCTTTGCTGGTATTTACTGTGTAAAAATATAGACACCATTTCTAATGAGGGATGGAGGCATGTGATGACTTCTTCACCACCTTATTGACAACTTGCAAAAGCCTCACAGAAAGAGAACAGACATTGAATCACATTTTAAAATTCTCTCAATGAGTACATTTTAGTTACCCGGATGAATGCATATGTCTAGGAGCTCCACTGTAACACCCCCTCAGGGTCTAGGTCATGTTTTAAACAGATCCAAAACAAGGTGGCTTTGTTTTTCAGGAATCACAAGTTCTCCGGGTGGGAATAATCAGGATGAGGGAGACGTCAGCCTGACACTAGGCTCTCGCTCTAGGGAGAGGCATTCACGGCAGATTTCAACACACTCAAAAATAATCGTGCACTCTGACAGGACACTGAAGTGCTAACAGTAGGTACGTGATGGGAAAGACAGAGACCAAGGGAAAACAAGGTACATACTTAAAACAGTGGACTTTTGGTCCTGCACATTTTAATGAATATCCGGTACTTTTATTTCTAAAAGAATTATGTTACCACTTCTTATCAGTAAGAAAAGTCCTAGGACTACAAAGTATCATTTCAGTTGCTTCTGTACAAACAAATCTCAACAAGATGCCCACAGTGAGGGCTGATTACCCGATGGCCTGCCGCTCCAGCAGCCTCTGCACCGGAATGGTGAGTTTCCCCAGAAAACGCTTGATGATAGGACGGCTCTTGGCAAATTTGTCTTTAATTTCAATTTCTAAGACATCGGTAAGAAGTGCAAAAAAGGAATATTTCTGGAAACAAAACCAGATAACATTTTGATTCAAAAGAAAGACAAGTATGAAATTATATCATTTTATTACTATAGAAAATGGTATCTCTTAAATCCTAACGACATATAGACTCTCCACTGCTAGAATTATCCGCAGCTATTGTCAATCTTTTATTCACTCAGAATCATTAACATTCACAATGATTAAAAAGCAACAGTGAAGGATCCGCATGACAAAGGAGTCCCTTCAATCATCCAGCCCTTCCTGGTTCAACGGTTTCAGATGTTATCAAATATTAAATTATGCACAATACAATTTTTGTACTCACTACATTATTGTATCTTAATGCTTTGAAATTTAATATCCTGCTATAGGAAGGTTTAGAATGAACCAACGTATTTGATTAACGGCAATTTGAATTCCTGATACCATGTCATCATGAAGTTAGTTGCACAGCACAGGTTAAAATACTCCTTCACTTAGTGGTTAAAGTCGGAACATCTGCAGAATACTGTGGTTTCCCTGACCAATATTAAAATAAAACAATGTTTAAATGGAGATTACTTAATTTAAAAGGCACACAGGGTCATTTCTTCTGGGAGAGAAAAATAAAAGTATGAGGTTAAGACAAGCTTTCTTGTTTTGTTCAAGGACGCCACTGGAGAAAATGGGATTGGACATTAATAAGGATACAAAATTCACAGAAAGAGCTTTCCTCATTTACAGCGACTTTCACATATATTGTCTTCATTTTATCTTTACAAAGATAAAATTTTCTTTTTGATGATGAGGATCTCAGGAAAAGTAAGTGATGGAGCCAAGAATCTAACCCGAATCATTTCACTCCTTCCCTGACAGCATCCATGCAACCACAGTGATGTGAATGGTGCTAGCCAGCTTGACACTTAGGCGCCACTAAGTTTATTTAGTCATAACAATTAAAGTTCTCCAAAGGGCCATGCAGTTTAGTAATCTGCTTAATGGAAAAAGCACTTGCTTAGAATAAGAGAGCTGAGTTTAAGCATTATTTCTGCCTCTGAGTAGCTAGTTACATAAACACTTTAAGTTTCTGCTTCTTCATCACCAAACTGGAGAGCTGAACATCTCATCCCCTTGCCCCCTTATCAGGTTTGCACTGGGAACATGGTGAAGAACTTTGTAAATATAAAATGTTGGGAAATAAAGTTATTGCTAGTGTCATTAGTATATCCACTATGTGCCTTCCAGAGCTCATACTGAGATAAGTTTTATCTCTTCTAGGCTTCTAATGTGTTAACTTAAGTGGCATTCCTTTAAGAGTTATTTACTATTTGGAGACCATAAATAGTTTTTTAAATCAGGTATAAGAATATATGCAATATTTATCCATTTAAATAACCATAAGAACTGCCCCGGAGGAACATCCTTCTGTGCTGGCCAGTCTCAAATAGCCACATCTTCTCTCCAATTGGTTTTAGAGCCCCTGAATTATCTCCCTCTCCCGTGAAATATTTCTACAACCTTGTTGCAACATATTGCCATTAAACATTTAGGGAATGACCGAATTAACTGTGTAACTCCTGTGCCAATAAAGGTTTATCCAAGGACACTCTAACACTAGTGCCTCGCATCCGCGAGAAATGGTGGGAGACTCATGCTTTGCTCACTCCATGGGAAGCGATGTCTCTGTTCATTCTTTGACTTTCAGCAGTTCTAATGAGAAAACCCTTCATTTGCTTTCACCGACAGGTGCACTAAGATGACTGGAAGCAGGACGTAGCTGTGAGGAAGTCTAAGTACCGTCAACACAACCCGGCTTCGCTCAGGATGACAATTCTCTGCATGGCTCACTTAATTAACCGAAATCTAGAAATCCAAAAAACATTTGCCAAAGCCCATAGGGAGAGAAATTCCTTTAATTTGTACTGTTATAGGCTACAAGAAAATATAAAAATTTTTAATAAAAACAAAATCAGTATTACTGATTTTCCTCCTGCCTCGGGCTCCAATATGGCTCTGCAAGGCGCTGTTACTGATCCTGCCCTGACTTAAAATTTTGATATTTTGTTCATCAGGAACTTTTTGCATTGATTTTGATGTTTTAAAAAAATGTTATATGGAAATATTTATTTGGATTATTGGGTTTTTTGGCATCCTTTAAATCGTGCATCTGAGGTGAGTGCCTCACATGCCTTATCCCAGACCTGGCCCTGGCTAGAAAGGACCATCTCAATCTCATCGTACCCTCTTTCTGACAGATGCTCTAGACACCTCAACCATCCCGCCCATGCCCATAAAGAGCTCAATGATGCACAGAGTCCAGAGGAAAGAGATGGAGTTGGCCGACATCCTAACCGTCAAGTAGAAGACCTTGGAGGATCATCTTACCTCTCGGTGCCAAATTGGATTAGTGGTGTTACTGATGATGGTGGACCTTCTCTCCTGCCCATGGTGGGCGCAGGTGGGGAAACTGCTCTTCTTCCCTGGCTGAATGGACATCTTAAGGTAAGGGTCAGGATTGAAGAACATCCCTTTCTTTAGTCCGACTGCTCTAAGATCTTTAAAGACAAAGAAAGGGAGGAGGAGAGGGTAGGGGAAGAGAGAGGGAGAGGAAGGATTCACATATCCTGATTAGAACAAGCAACTCAATGACAATTTGTTGTTAAATAATCACACAGGACACTCTACACAGAATCTATTTGGCAAAACAATAACCAAGTTATTCAGATTATGATTGCTTAGATAAGTGAGGACAAGTGGGTTATGACTAATTCTAGCAGGGTGTTTCCTAACAGGCTGCAAAAATGAAGCCAAACTTTTACCACCACCTTACATACCTAAACTGACTTTTCCTGGGAACCATCTTCATTCTAACATGTGCATCTTCACCACCTTTTTCAACGTGGTTTGGCAACCAGCATTTCAAACAATGTCTTGAGAGAAATCCTTAGTAAACAGTTTATTAAAAAGGAACACCAATATGTTCCTTCATGAGAGAAAAATGAATCTTCTACATACATGTGTGGAATGCACTGACTAAGTTTAATTGGGGGTGAAACTTTGGAGCACACATCCAGTTGTATCACATTTAGAATGTCACATATATTCCACAAATGTAATGAATGTTAGGGGAACAGAGGAGATTTATATATCTATTTATATTTCTAAAATTTGAATGCTACCTGCTATTTTAAATAACTGCAAGGTTACTTGTTCAATAACTTTCAGCTAACAAGTATTTGATGAATATCCCACAACTCATCTTAGATTTACCAGTTGTTATTTCCTAATATGGGAGCTGCTAAAAGTTCTGGCCAAACTCTGGCTAGTGAAGAGACCGACATTTTAAAAATGGTCAGGCTACGAGATACAAAATGTCAGGACACAAAGCTGGCTTTGCTTAGTCCCCCAACGCCTTTCTGAGAATGTCAGTTTGAATAAGGCTGGCCTGACAGCCAAGTGAACCTGAAAGCTTTTGGAAGAATAGACTGTTTCTGGGTAACGTCATGTCATTATGATCAGTCTAGGGAGGTCCTGACCATTGGTTCAGATAGAAATTCTGCAGATGGCCTTGAAACCTTCAAAGACCTTTGGATTACCCAGATCGGCCAGGGAACAGACTTTGTATAGTGACCCTAAATTTACAGGAGGTCACCAGGGTCATCCTACACAAGGCCCTTCCTGAGACACAAAGTCTTTCTCACAAGGACAGAATTGGCTTAGGGTTGCCCACAGAGCCATATCTCTAGGGAGCACTCCCTGGAGGAGTACACCAATGGCCAACAAGAACTAGTGGCCTAGATGCGTGTGATGAAAACAGACCGGGACTGTCTAATGACACATAACCGGCAGTAGAGGGAGGCAGTCTAATATGTTGGCAAAGATTGAAAAATTCAATCAAGAGGACCTTATGTTAAAAACACTGCATGAAACACAGTAAGATCTTTGATCTGAAAAGGAGTGGGAGGCGGGAAAGATGAGTAAAGAACTAGATAGGCACTTCTGAGAAGCTGCCGAATCCCATTAGCCTTATAGATTCCATTCCTAGTACTTCATAAACTATGAAGTCACTATTAATACACCATTTGCATTTTACTATCAATTTAATAATGCTACACGTTTTCACTTGGCTTTATTTAGCATAAAATAGCTTTGAGAGAAAAACGCAATTTACATATTTATTTTCTTGCCTTTCTTGATTATGCTCGCCTTGGACTCAAAGACAGAAGTATGATATTCTTTAGATATTAAATTTACTTCTAAACAAGGTATTTCTTTGCAGTAAATGAGAAGTAACATGTACAGAAATGGCTGCCGTGACATCTGACAAAGCTAAATTATTCATGCAAACATTCCTTTGAACAAAAAGCATGCCACCAGAAGATTAAGTCTCTGTGATGAAAGATGTCACTGTTAGATAATCTTTATACTAAACTTGCCCACAAGGGACACTGTACAAATAAATCTTCATTATTAAATACAATATACTACCAATTATTTATAGTCTGGTTATTCAGTTCTCTTTATCTATCTCATTTCTGCTCTTGCTTGTCTCTTTTTTCTTCAATATATTTTATTGCTCATAAATATCCACACCACCTAATAAGGACTCAAAGTCACAAAGGTAGGACATTTTAAACATCTTAGTTTAAAGGTTTATTTGGAGAAGAGGTTTAAGATATCAATCAGAACACAGTTTTTGTCCTAGAGTTCAATTATTTGTGTCCCTACTTATCCAAAATAATCGAGAGTAGAACATTTGCAGGCAGCCATTCTACAGTGCTTCCATGCTCTTGGATAAATAATATCATCCACTGTCAATATACTACAATCAGGTTCATTTTTTGGAGTTGCCATTATAGAATTGCTTTCATTTTCTATAATTTTTAGCAATTTCTGTACACCATCTGCAAATATCTGACTCTGTGGTAGGAAATAAAACAGATTTTAGGTAGCTAGCTGCCATGTGTATAGAGGTGAAATGTTGGAAGTTGTATTTAAAGAAGAAGCATTTGGCTTTGCTCCAAAGCTTAGCTCCCACTTTTTAAGGAAGATGTCTTGGGATTTTCGACTTTCACATGGTCATTCTCCCATGGTGAGTTAATTAACATACCCTCTGGAGTCAAAATCAATATGTGTGTGTTATGTTTAGAATGACATTGATCACTTGAAAGCATAGGGCAATGATTCAAAACTTAGAAAACTCTTGGTATGGTCTCACTCTTTTCTGAGCTCTGGAAGTTGGCTAATTGCTCCCTACCTACAAATGAAGGATTTCTGTACCTGCCGCCCCTCAGGACTGTGAGTGTCTAGAGCGCAGGCAGCCAATGGAAATGTTTCCAGGAGACAGACAGATAAGGGGATGGGGGAGCAGTACCACAGCAAGGGTACTTCTAGGTGCCCTCCTAAAAACCTAAATATTTTTTAAACCCTGAGGGTTCCAAACAAAACATATTTATTGGTCAAATTTGAACCATAAGCCACCAGTATACAACCTCTGAGACTCACCATATAACCAAAATAAAAAAGGCTTTCATAGTAAATAATCTCAAGTGGGAAGAAGGAAATGCTAGAAGAGACACAGATCCTCAGAAGGCCAGGCACCAGCAGTGAACTAGGGTGCACAATTAAGCACATGTGATAATTGTGCATCATGGGCATTCTGCTCTCAATCAGCCGTCTAACTCTCATTCTTGAAAATGTCTATTTTCATTCACAACATTTTTGTGCTGCCAAGAAGAAATGAATCTAATTTAAATTTCAGAAGCACTACACCTATAGAAAAATAAAAACAAAACGTCTTACAGTGGCAGATGTCTGTTAGACTTTATTTTGTATGCATTGCATCACAGTTGTCTGTTTCAAGAGCTCATTCCAAATATCCTTGACTTTATGGCTGCCAACTAATTTTTTTAAATCAGTGGCTTTCAAACTTTTTTGACATGTGTGTGTGAAATACATTTTAAACTGAAACCTAGTAAACACATAAATAGGTGTGTATATTTTTGTGTGTGAAAATTTTCAGTTTGTATAAACTGATGTTCTATGAAAAAATATTTCCCTTTGGTGGTAAACTCTGATTTTTGTCTATTTTTTTTTAAATTGGTTTCAAAAATTGTTGATTTCAACTAAATAAATCTTACAAACCACAAAAGAGTTCCAACTCACAACTTGAAAAACAGTGCTTTAGTAGTATGATAAACACACAAGCAATTAGAATATTCTACTAACCAGAAAACAAATGAAAAAAATTGTCCTATCCACTTTTCAATTTTTATGTGCATTCCTCCACAGAAAGAGAAGTGTCCCTTGGCTTTTTTCTCCTAGTCTCCAAATTTTTCCTTTCTTTAGACAAGGTAAGCACAAATTGCTTTCAATAATCAAAGCTCTCCTGTGGGATTAGCACATGTTACATTGCAGTTTTTTTTTTTTTTAAAAAGTAACTATACATAGTTATGGTCTTTTTATCACCAGAAAACTTGGTAGAATAAATAAGTTGTAAGTTTATATCAATAATCTAATTTTATCATTGTAAGAGTTATACTTGAATTTCTAGAAGTATTACCAAAAAAATAAACAACTAGTTCACATATCACATATGAGTGTGTAGAAAAGAATGACTATTCATGCCTCTGAAATTGCACACTTGCAAACTGGACACCACGCTTACGGACAGCCTTACCTGACAATGTAAAGCTAACGAGTTTCCGTGAATGCTGATTTCCTGAAGCACCTCCTTCCATGCCTTCTGCCCCCATCTACAGAGAAAAAGCACGTATCTGAAGTTTCACAGAAGTATGATGCTTCTCAACCTCCCCAGGGAACCACAACGTTTGCAAATATGGTGATTTTTGTATCAAACCTGTATTGTAGTATATATCTTTTCATGTGCTACAAATCTTGGAATTGAGACGGAGGCAGATTCTCTGAGACAAGAGAAACAGTCATACTTAAATTTAATCTTAACTCCAAATCAGATGGACATGAACCTCTAAATTCCCTAAGATAGGAATCAACCTACTTTACATCCTTTTACTCCCTTGTTAAGAATATAGTTGAAATGTAGTAAATGTACTTATATTACTATATTGAAATAATTCCCTAAATTAAAAACCAAACATCAAATTCCTTCAGATTTATTAGGAAAACCTAGAATAAACTATGCAGTTGATTTATATCAGATTCATCCATATATATGTATAACTATCTTCTCTTGCCAAATATTTCTGAGTGACACGTGGGTGTCCCCTCACCCTTGTAGCTTCTGTTTTATTGTGCTGCAGGTACATGGCACAGGCAATTATAATTAGCAATAATAAGAATTTGCAATGCTATTGTATTGTAAAGCTCTTCCTACAAGCTTTCAAGTAAATTATATCTCACTTAAAACCAGTCATTTATAAGCTGCATAGCAGATTTAGGCCTTTATCTCAATTTATGTACAATCAGTACTTAATTTATGGTACACTAGGAAAAAAGAGTTTCATGGGTCTCTAAAAAAGAAGTCCATAATACTGTAAGAGGCAGAATTGAAGGTGGAATACTTTTTGAATAGTTGGGAGACAGAAACTACATTTTAATTCTAAAGTGTAGATTAAACCCTTCCATCCCATCTTTGGGGGGCTCCCATACTCCTGTAAAATTCATATACCTCCCCAAAATAAAAATTTCACTATTCCAAGCCAAGTTGAGAAATTTCAAAATAAATTCCATTGAAATTTTGAAATATTAATTCCTACTTCCTCCTCCATTTCCTGTACTGTAGTTAAGACTATTTTGTGTGACTGCTTCCTGATTGTTTCACGTGTCATTCACAATATACTAGGGCAATAGCCAGGTATCTTTATTTTATTCCGTCCTTAGAACCAACTCCTTGACAGTGCTGGGTTGGCTCTCAACAGGTAGGTATAGTTTATTATTTTGTATTGTACCCCTCTGACTCATCACCCCCAGGTAAACTGGAGCAGAGAGAGCAGCATACTGGCCAGACAAGTGATCGTTGTGACCAACTCGTCCTGCTTTCACCCTGGAATATAGAGTGGTGAGTAGTGAGGTTGTGCAGAAGACAACTAAGACAGACACTCAGCAACCTACCCACCCTGTGCCCTGGGCATAGCCAGACATCTGATAAACTGTGGCTTCCCCTCAAACGGACCATGCCAGCCAGTGAGATGTCCCACCCCAAAGATACAACCTCTCTCCCCGCTAAGGGATACCCATGCTAAGTGAGTTAAATGAGACTGGAAAGAGTCCTAGCGTGTTTTCACTTAAAATCTATTTAAAATATTATACGAAACTATAGAAACAAAAGAAAATCCCCCAAATTCTCCTTTTTCTAAATGTAATTCACTGTCTGGGAAAAGGCTATTGTGAAATCATTCCCACAGAATTCACAGATAAACCACTGCGGCAAAATGCTTCTCTGAAATAACACTCAAAGAATTCAATTTTATCATTCATTACAATAAAGCCAGGAAAGATCGAACATTACCTCTAGATACAGGGACATCAGTGATAATAAACACACCTGTACTCCATGTTTAGAGAGGGGTTTGTAAAATAAACTCACTCCCTAGATTCACTCCAGGAAAACCCAGAAACAACACTGTCCACCAAGTGCCGAAACAGTACATGGTCATGAGTGATGGTAGCTTTCATCTGTCTCTGAAACCAAAGGATTTCCTGTTCCAAGGGTCTGAGCCATTTCACTGTGTACACTGATGAATGACAATGATGTCAAAGTGCAAATGACAATTTTTTTTATCCTTGATTCATTGCAAAAGGATATGTGAGAAAGGAGACCGCACAGTTAGAACAGCAGCTATTTCCTTCCTTTTGGTTTCTCAGTTACTTCTTCCAGGTCTATTCTTTGCAACTGGTTGTGGAACAATCATACCAAATGGGCATTGTGAATGTCAATGTAGTTAATCAGTCACAATAACCAAACACATGTCATACAGCTCAATGACCATCACGCTGTGATAGAAACACAGCACTCGCCCCCGCAATGAGGTGTCCATATGGCACAGCCTCTCAATTTTGGATACAGACTCAATTGTCTCAAGCTTGGTCAGAAATATATTAGTCAGCCTTTGAACCAAAATATTCTGTTCTGATTGCCAGTGCTGTATCTATGAAGCTTTTAAGGTGTTCTAAAACCTGTCTGAAGCAAACCATCTCCAACTATCCACAGGCTTTGACAGAGTGATCACAATGCAAAACCAATGGATGAGATCAATGTTCACCAGGGTGCAATGAGATCTGATGCCTTCAATGATCCCTGATCATTGAAATTGCTCATGTCCAAGAAAATCTGATTCCAGAAAATCATGCTTGGAAGCTATTTTTTAATTTCATACACAGCTAATTTTTCAAAGGTTTTATTATAAACAGCCCCACATTTCTAGTTTTATAATTTTTCTTCTTAGACTATTAATTAAAGCATGTTTCACTGCTTACTATGTGACACGGCAGACTTTGAAGTCAACAATTGTTATTCTCCTTGTGACCTTCAAAGATCTATAGGTAGTGTGGGTTATCCTTTTATATTCTATACTATGTTTACTATAATGGGACCTCAAATATAATTCAAACGTGAGCAGAGTACTTAGATGTTGAAGATTTTGCACATACTGTTCTCTCTGCCTGAAATGCTCTTCCCTCCCCCTCTTCATCTAAATAACTCCTACTCATCCTTCTGATTGTCCCACAAACACATCTTCTTCAGGGAAGCCTTCCAAGATCTTCCTGATCAAGATAAATCCTACTAGCGTGTAGTCTCACAGCTCCATTTTACTCAATGGAGCAATGATCACTTAAATAAATATAATTTAATTTAATTGATGTCTTTCTCCCCTACCAGACCAAGGAGAGCAAGGACTGTGTTTCCAGTTATCCTTTCATCCCTAGTGGCGACTGCAGTGCCTGGCACTTAGCAGGCACCCAGAGACTACTTGTCCGAATGAATAAAATAAAAGGAAAGATCGCTGGATACTGCATTGGTAGGTCTGGACAATTTCAAAATGCCATCTGCAGAGACTACTTTCTGACTTTCAGGGGGTCAACTTGGCCACTGGCCTATTTCCGAAAATCCATGCATCTATAAATGTGTATACACACACTACAGACATAATATGAAGATTCCATGTTATAGAAGTCAATATTTTTCTTCTATATTTTCATGACTTCGTTTTTATTAATAACCAATAAACACTGCAATGATTTACATATCTTAGACTCTAAGAATCCCCCCAAACTGTCTGAGTCCAAACCCCTATGGACAATGCAGTGCATCTTGCAAAGCTGTTAGATTTCAAAGTTAATTGATGGAGTGAAAAACCACAAAACTGTGAAAAGTAATCCTTAGGAAAGCGCCGTGTTGGAAATAGATATACTTTCCTTCAAAAGTCCAATACAACCAGTTTCCTCCAAAGCTAAATTAGATCTCTCTTTCTTCAACTGAAGTCCTGGTGAAGAGACTGGCTTCCACTGAGTGGCTTCGTCATACCATATATGTGCGGTGTCTTTAGACACTAGACCTCAACTCAGCCTCGAGAGGGACCCAGCGCTCAGACCTCCTGAGAGAACAGAACATTCCTGACCTTCGTCTCACATTCTCTTTGGGGCCAAAGCTCCTTAAGTTGACTGGCAGGTAGAATCATACACTATTTAAATTGTTATTTTTCTCTCTTTTCCTCACTAAACTTATGAAAATTAAATTCATGTAAGATGCAACGCCACTGTGTCCTACCAACCAGTCACCCAGACTAAGTTGAAAACACTTTCCATGATGGGGCGCTCGCTAAGTTGCTTCATGAGAGGGTTCCTTTGCTATATACAGAATAGTTACAAATCCAGTCATTATTTCCCACTGGTTTGTGCTATGGATTCAGGTATGCCAGTCTTATAAGTGACTTCCTTTGCTAAAACGGTGCCCACGCTGTTCTGCGTTTCCTTTTTCATTGTTCCCCACCCTCCCTGCCAGAGCTGCACGGGCAAAAATAGACATCCTGGCCGGACGTCCCAAGGAAGCGGGCAGTGGGGGCACTCACCAGCACAGCGGGGTTCTTCACCGTGATGCAGGGGGTCGTGGCCCGCAGGGCTCCGCTAATGCCGTGGTAGTATTTAAAACAGATTTTTATCTCCGCTGCAAATCGATTGGAGAAAAACAATGATGTAAACACCAAAACAAGTCAATTAGGAATCAGCCGAGGAAATCCACCCCACTGCCTCTCAGGAAACCCTCCTCATGACTCTTGGAATGATCCCTGCTTTTCCAAGCAGAGGGAACAGAATATACCAATTCCTGTTTGACTTTATATGAGCCTCTGAAATTTTCTAAGGACAGCCCAAATATATTAGAAAGATAACGCACAAAAATAGCATGCCAAAATATATATAGTGTAGAGATAAGAACAAGACTAGCTACCATTCACTGAGGGGTTCTGTCTGCTCCTGTCGTACTGAATCCTCACCTCAGCCACGGGAGGCAGAACTGCCCGCCCCCGTATTACAGAGGGAGTGCTGAGGTTTGTCCAAGGCCAAACAAACAGGAAACGACAGGGTCAGGACTCAAAAGCCCAATTCCAAAGCCTTTGCTCCTATCCTCCACAATACAGACAGACTGTAGCTGTCAGTGGAAATAGAAGAAAAGCAGGCTAACAAAGCAAGAAAGAGCACTGTAGTAGACTCTGCAGTGGTAGGGGCTGGAATCTGTATTATTTCAATTTTCCAAGTGACTTAAATGCAGCCACTAGACAGAGATCAAATTTAGGAACCACTGGTATATATGAGTACCAGCATGTAGACAGATACAGATTATAGATATAATCTCCACAAGTGTGTGTGCGTGTGTATCTAAATCTACATGTATATATGTGTGTGTGTGTATGCATATATATATATATAATTTGAACTTGATAAAAAGAAATACAAATGTCAATTACTGATTTTGGAAAGTAACTACAATTTCCAAGACCATGAAGCCAAAATGTGTCAATGGTTAAAGCCACAGTCACCGGAATTTCTCTGTATACAGAGCGTCTGAGTCACTGAAGTGTCACTGGGAGATGCCTTTTCCCAAGGTATTGTTCATTATAGGCAATGATGCTGAAGGGCAGGGACCAGGGGGAGTCCCAGCCTACAGGAGTGGAGTTCCTCTCTCAGCTGAGTCACCGGATTACCAAAGTGGGGCCACTCAATCTATTTCCCCAAGGAGGTTAATCTTCACGCACTCTTCTGACTGTACCAAATGGCCTTCTCCAGAGTATTTGCTTTGCTTCCTTTAAGAGAACAATATAATGATTTAAAAAAATCCTCTTTTACGGGGCTGGCCCCGTGGCCGAGTGGTTAAGTTCGCGCGCTCCACTGCAGGCGGCCCAGTGTTTCGTTGGTTCGAATCCTGGGCGCGGACATGGCACTGCTCATCAGACCACGCTGAGGCAGCGTCCCACATGCCACAACTAGAAGGACCCACAACGAAGAATATACAACTATGTACTGGGGGGCTTTGGGGAGAAAAAGGAAAAAAAAAATAAAATCTTTAAAAAAAAAAAATCCTCTTTTAGGAATTTATATTATTACACTTTTCCTATCAATGATGAAATGCTAAATCTCAAAAAAACCCCATCTGTCATTGGGTAAAATATTGAGCTTTCCATCATGCATGTTAATCACTATGCGGAGATTCACAATGTAGTCAGCATGGTCCTGCAAAAGATTTTTACCATGGCCCCACCACAACCCATGCCCAGCACTAAGCCAGAGAGCATGAGGGAATCACAGAAAGGTGTGTGTCTAGCAGGTGACGTCCAGTGTAGCTGTTGACATGAGAATTGCAGGCATGACAAAATACAGAAGACAAATTCTCAAAAGGAAGGGTGCAGGGAAGAAAAGTGTGACCACAGAGAAGAGGAGTGGGGACACGGGAGAGTCGGAAAGGCCTCATGGAACAAATGGGTCAGGACTCAAAGCTACAGATGAGAAAAAGGGTGTGGAGAGAGTTAGGACTGAGGAGTGGCAAAGCACGAGGCAGGAACGAGCATGCTGGGTTGGAGGACCAGCAAGGAATTCCAGCTTTACTCTTACTTCCCCTCCCTGGGCACACGCCACAAATGACCGTCCTAAACACTAACACAGGTTTTTGGTTATTACTGAAATAGTAATAGCTGTATGGATCTGAGCAAACCTTACTCTCCCACTCGCTTTCTTCCAAGACCAGTAGCACGCATCCTGCAAGGACAAAGTTAAGCAACATGCACAAGGCTTGTCAACGGAGAACAAGCATGGGGACGTGTATGAAGCCTGAATTCTGTGGCAGGAGCTCACAATCACACTCAAATGCTGGGGCCCAGCAGGCTGTGACTCTGCTGGCAGCAGCACCCCACAGATCAAATCAACCGATAGTGAGCGAGCAGCTCATTTTCCAACAAGGAGAAGTGCATTTTTATAAGACATCTTCCCCGAACTCCCTCTCAAGTTAGGCTACCATCTCCTCTTTTCTAAAGTTTTAATAGTCAGCTAGGTAACAGATTATGAGACACACACAAAAAATGTGACTGCTGATTTTTATTTATAGGATGTGGATAGCCAGGCCAGCTCCACTAGCTGACCCATTTGGGGGTTGTTTTATTCCTTACTATAACAAAAATCTCCAACCCCGGTGACAAATTAAAATCCCTGAAGCTATAAAATAACTCATTCTGAATTGCACACAGCAGATTTTGTGGATATGATCACCAAAAACACCACAAAGCTGACAGCTTCATAATGCTTTAAGGCTCGGGGCAAAGCCAAGGGGAGTCACACAGTTCACTCATTACAAAACCAAACACACACTCTGGTCACCAGGGAGAGAAACACAGGACTGGACAGAACGAGCTGTTTGCACCTGGGCTGAAACCAGCTGGCCCTTTCAGCAGGACACCAGTGAAGATTCCTGCCCCTAAAATATAGGAATGTTCCATGCTGAGTGGGAGTTTCCTTCTTCAAATATTATTTAGTGTTTTAGGAGTTCACTCAAGATAAAAAATTAAAAAATGGTGTAACTAAACAACATCCCCTCTGAGTAAGAGAGAGAGAAGAGAGAGAGCAGCATTTTGATGAATGTTCTTGAACATTTTAGTTATGAGAAAAGGTAACTAGAAGCATACTGAAAAGGAAGGAAAAGGGAAGTTGGTGTCATGTTTCCATTTTAACTACATTTTGAACCCCCAACTGCAAGTGGAAAACAAAAGCTGTTCCTGAGAAACAGATAGGACAGGTGAAAGCAAACGCAGGCACGAAGGCCGAGCATCAGAGAAGAGAGGAGCCCATGGCCCACAGGGGGAGCCCTGTTCACAGGCAGGGGAGATGGAGGATACGGACTAAGGAGCTATGCACCACCCTGTACACCCGAGGATGCTTTCTCCACAGCCTGAGGCGGCAGCCAACATCTCATCCTTGTGGCCTCAAATTATGGGGGGGAATATATATATACATTCCCCTCCATAATATATAGCCATTATAATATATACATATATAGCCATTCCTTTGGACTATAAAAAGCAAGAGTATATTCTCCAAAAAATCCACTTATAACAAGGATGTTGCCTCCAAGGGCGGGAAGCCAGGAGAAGGGTGAGGCTCTCCCCTTAACCTGCAAGGACCTACAGTCTGCTGGGCCAGCCTCGGAAGGAAGACAGCATGGCCCGAGCAGCATCTTCCTCTCTCTGAGGTCCCTTCCGAGGGGCTGAAGCCAGTCATGAAACATGGAAATACATTTTGGCCCCTTTCAACAATCTTAAGGACAGTTTCATCTATGGAGTTACTACTAAAATAAAGATTTGGCAGCCTCTATCCTCTATTAAAATGCTGATAAGGCACAGAAGCTCTTTTATTTTCAAATTTTTAACTTGTTAACTTTCATAAATACAAATGAAGATGCCCCCCAGAGCAATAGACAGTGCGCCAACCCCATCTCCAACGCAGATGGGAGGCCATCACTGTGCAAACACGCATTCAGTACTTGTGGAGATGGAAGGGACCTTGGAGGACAGTGTTCAGGAACTTAACTTACTGTTCCTAAGGAAAGGGGCTTCTGTAATTGCGGGAGTCTGACATCGCATTTTTAAAGCAATCATTCTACCATCTGTTTAAAGGAAGAATATATTTCTGGGTTTGTATGTCAATAAAATATTTCCAGATGTATCACATGAAACTGGTAAAAGTGATTGCCTTCAGGGAGGGAAAAATGGTGACTGGGGCATCAAGTTGGGGAGATATTTACTTTCACTTTTCGTCTTTTTAACATTATACTCTTGTCATATATTATCTATTCAAAAATTATTTTTTAAAAGCAATCTCAACTCAGCTACATTAACTCCAGGTATTAGCATAAGATTCCATTTCAAGCCCTCTCTGAAAAAAGGTTCCACAGGGGGCTGGCCCCGTGGCCGAGTGGTTAAGTTCGCGCACTCCGCTGCAGGCGGCCCAGTGTTTCGTTGGTTCGAATCCTGGGCGCGGACATGGCACTGCTCATCAGACCACGCTGAGGCAGCGTCCCACATGCCACAACTAGGAGAACCCACAACGAAGAATACACAACTATGTACCGGGGGGCTTTGGGGAGAAAAAGGAAAAAATAAAATCTTAAAAAAAAAATAAATAAATAATAATAATAATAATAAAAAAAAGGTTCCACAGGCCACTTCCTGCAAGAAATGGTTTTGTTTCAAAGACTGGGATCTGGTCTATCAACTTAAATAGCTACAAACTCACTTAGGCTGTAGTAAATAGCTTGTTCCTATTTAGAAAGTCTGGATTTTCCTCAAGTGTCTAGAAGTTAAATATTTTGAACCATAAAGATAAATGGAATGGAAATGTCCTTGTTCTTTTAATCATTTCTATTTCATTAAAATAGAATATCTTAAAAGAAAATCAAGCTACCTGCAATTTATTATTTATCCTAAAACAGTATTTTAACCATTGTCCTATGTGCTCTTTTTTTTTTTTTGCTGAGGAAGATTAGCACTGAGCTAACAGGTATGAAGGAAGGACAGGCTTGAATGAATGAATAAACGAATAACCATGATCTATAAAGAACTATATAAGAATAAAATAGATATCCTGGCATGCGAAGACAACTTTTGAAACCTCTTACATTTCAAACCTCAAGAATGTACACTGCACAGATGACCCATTCCGTTTCTGGGAGCAGAAGCTCATTTGAGGAATACTTGACAGTCTTATGACGAGTAAGTGCAGATGAAGCCGATGCTCCTCTCCGACGCCTGCGAGGGCCGTCTACCCCAAATTAAACCTTTGTCCTTGAAATTCATTCAAGTAGGCCCCAAGTAATAATATAAGTCCGAGCCACCTGCCTCCTCTGGGGTTTATCCAGACAAATTGAAGCCATCTTTACTCTCACAAATAGCTTAGATGGTGCTCAAATCCAGGTCTGCCTGTGAACTTAGATCAATTTTCAGAGAATTTTACTTTGCTTGGACTTTTGATGAGCTAAAGATAAATTTTTCTCCTGAAGATAACAGCAAAAGTTTTTAAATGTCTTAAGTTTTCAAGATCAGGGGTAGAAAATATAGAAGCTGCCTAACCACCAGCCCCTACCCTGATTTTTTTTAAGTTCCATGCCATCAACTCCAGAGATTCAAGTAAAACTTCATTATGCTGTGAAGTCCCCTTAGGTCTGCTCTAGCCAGACATGGGGTAAAAAGATGATGTCTAAAAGACACAGACTACAGCTCTAAGCACTGATATAAATAGCACCTGAGGTTTTTTACACTGAACAGATATTGAAAGGATAGGGATGTGTTGGGGGAGGCCTCATTCTGATTAATGAAGATAAACTTATTATAAAGCCAAATCTTTCTGTAATTCCTATTCACTGCCCAGGACATTAACTTGTATGACTTTTCTCAGTCCTTAAAAGGTACATTCCAGAATATTTTCAGTTTTACAATCATGCTACACAATACCCCCAATTCTGTGTGTGAAGAATTAAGGTAGGAATGCTAAATTTGAGGAGAAAAGAAAAAGGAAAGAAACCCTATTGTTTTCTTCATTTCCAATTCCTGGCTTCAATGTCAAGCCCATTTCTACTTCATACTAGAGCGAGGGGTCAAGAAAAACATTTACTATACCCACATCAGCTAGGATATTACAAATCTCTAACACTTTTGACAGAGGAAGGGAAATCAATCATGGCAAATGGGATACCCCGTAAATGGGTTTTTTCACACATAATGTCCCACTTATAGCAGCGTGCGATACTGACTTCTCCCCAGGTGTTCATGTGAGCGCCATAAGCTGGATCTGCACATTCCATCAGAAGGCAATCATTCCTAGCAGTCTTCAGCATTTTGAAGAGAATAGGAAAGCTATTTTACCCTTTCCCCTGAAGTTCAGCTGGCAATATTTCTCAGTTAGATCACCCTATCGAACCCTGGAAGCCTTCCAAACGAGGAACCATATTGAAAGTAAACCCGGCTAGTCCCCATTCCATTTTTTCCCACATTCTTGGATCATTTATTTTTCTCATTACTTAGACAGTAACGCCAGCTGGGCCAACATTGGAGAGTAAAGAAAAGTAGAAATAGGCAAGAAAAACAAATCACCCATAATCTCACCTCCCAGACACAACTCTTCTTCACATTTTAGCAAATCTCCTCTAGACTGTTTCCTACATGCTATGATATTAATTGGGATTATGCCACACGTATCTCCTTTTTTCTCCTTGCTTATTGATATATCATGATAATTTTATATCATGAGCTTATTCCGTTTTTTAAAAATTTTTTTTCAAGGAAGATTAGCCCTGAGCTAACATCTGCCAATCCTCCTTTTTTTGCTGAGGAAGACTGACCCTGAGCTAACATTCATGCCCATCTTCCTCTACTTTATATGTGGGACACCTGCCACACAGCATGGCTTGACATGCGGTGCCATGTCCGCACCCGGGATCCGAACCGGCAAACCCCGGGCCGCCGAAGCAGAATGTGCACACTTAACCACTGCGCCACCGGGCCAACCCCGAGCTTATTCCCTTAGAAACTACATTCCATTTAAAGTTTAAAGAGAGAATCTAGCCAGAAATTGAACTATGAAAAGAGGACATTCCTTAGGGGGCAGAAACAGGATTACAGAAAGTTCTGGAATGCTGACCTATCAGTAAGGACGTGGAAGAAATTATCTGATGCCTTTAATGGCATTTCAAAGCAACAGATGTCGATCTTTTAAAATAACTTTTTACATTACACAAGTTTTATATGCTTCAGTAAAGATATGAAGACAGCAGGTTTCCATTTAGTCAAACTCTACTTTATATTTTAAGGTTTAGTAATTCCTACCCTTAAGTATGAGTATCCACACACCCTCTCTAATATTAAATCCTTTGCCTATAGAAAGCTTAATTCTTACACAGAGCTAAACAACTCAAAAAAATTTTGAAGAGTCCATGTTTTTCTACATTAAAGAAAAATTCTGTAAATGCAAACTAACCTGGATCAACCAGTAAATCATTTACTCATTCACGCCTCTATCTATTCCACAATAATGTATTTATTATGTTCTCAATAATATTCATGGCAAATAAAAACACTCCCCTTCTCCCCAAATAAAAAGAGAGAAAATATTTCGTAAACCATGTATTTTATATAAGAATTAGTATTTACAAATAAATACAACATCAGATCAACTGGGCAATGGTTGAGTTATCTGCAGCCAATTTCCGATTCCCAGTAAATCGACCTCTATGGCAGTGGGCCCCAGACTACCTTATCTACGCTTGCAAAGAGCAGGACTCAAATCAAAAGTGATTTTGCTGCTGGGAAAAATAATAGCAAAGTTAGCAAATAAAATCCTTAAGTTGTTAAATTCTTAAATTTCACTTAAATCTTGAGTTATTCTTTCTGCTCCCTAAAGTTAATATAATTAAGTATTAATTACAAATGTAGACACAAGGCTATAGAAAAATGTATAAAGTATTAAAATAACCATAATCTATATACCATACATTCATAAGGTATAGGTAGTATATACATATATATATATATATATACACACTCACATACATGTGCACATACACACACACACACTTTTTTCAAAATATGTGAACATCCTCTAATGAATATTTTCTAAAAAACGTATTTTCCAGTGAACATCCTCTAATGAACATTTTCTATAACAACGTATTTTCCAGTTTGGGGCTACATGGCATAAACATGTAAATCAGAGCCAAAAACTTTTAAAACAACATTCAGAAAAGACTCCACAGATTTCTGCATGTTTATGCAATGTTTAACAACAAATTCAGATTTCACACTTAGTTACTTACGTTCCATGAAGTAGGGCCCAGGCTCAATTCTCCATACAATTTGTCCTTTCTGTGTTCCGGTCACACCCCTGTTTTTAGAATCCCAGAAGTTGGCTGGAGAATTCTCATCTGGAAAAACCAAAGAAACACTTTTCAGCTTAATTATAACCTCTTTGCCCTTCTTTAGCTCAAGGACTAATATAAGTTCTAAAATAAATGGAAAAAAGATGCAGGGGGCAATGGTAATGAACACTATCATCAAGGACTATCCCCCAGCAGATTATTCCCCTGAATTTCTATACTTGCATTTACACAGGAGAATTGGGGCGGAGGTGGTGGCCATGGAAAGAAGATGGCACCCCTGGGCTTGGCCAGGTTGACCAATGTTACCAAAAGAGAAAACTGCAAAGAGCAAAAGGTACAAGTGCTGAAGCTTCAGCTGATGCATATGAGGAAGGGCTTGGGTGCGCGCCCATCTATAAAATCCTTTATGAAAAGGAAAGGAAGAGCTGATGAAAACAAAGGACATTAAGCTATGAAACTGTGTCAGGACACAGAACAGGTTTGCCATGAATGGTGCTCAGGAGACACCATGCCACCAGGTCTGCTAGGACAACATTTTACAAAAGGCCAAAGGCAGCAGATCTCGAGCCAATACAAGAAAAGGAAAGAGACAGAATTTAGGCTTTTGTGTGGAAGAAGGATAGAAAGAACAGACCCAGAGAATAGGCCTGAGAGCAGCATTTTGCAAGCTTTCTGACCTCAGGGCACACAGGCAATGATGATATTTGTAGGCAGACCGGGGTAAACAGAACAGATTTTACACTTGAAGATGACGGGCAGGGTGCTCTGCCTGCCCCACCTGCCCCTCCCCGAAGGCTTAAGAGATTCATGTTCTGTAACTTGCTCATATCACACTCGTCTCAAGCTCTGTCCCAGGCCCTAGAGTGGGAAAGGAAACTAAAAACATGAAAAAGAGACCATTCAGAGTTTTATAGGTACACAAAAACATGTGCAGTGACACTGGCTCTCAGAGGTTCCTCATTTGTTTCCCCAAATCCCCTTCCCAGGAGGAAAGATTAACTCATTGCTGGAATAAACCAGACAGGGTGAAGTAAGAGCTACACTCAAAAAGGGAAGATGGAGAAAAGGTCCCAGGCCCAAGGGAATAATCCCGAGAAGAAAAACCTCTCTTCTTTTGAGCATAAAGGGAATAGAAAGTGGGCTAAAGGGAGGGTTCGGATAATTCAGCTCTGGAGGAGTTCTGTCCATGGTTGTTCTTGGGTCCCACTGGCTTTATCATATCGATAAGCCAGAGAACTTTGGGGGCAAGTGTCCTTTGATGCTACTTGCATTCAGCACATGATAAGTCAAAAGTTCTTTACTGTGAAAGCCCAAGAAGCAGCCACTGTTCTTTGCAAGAATGGAAAGGCATACACCACTCATGGCAACACCTCCACTCCTAGACAAACAATACAAGGAAACTAGTCCACTCCGTCACAGAAATATACCCACAACACTGATATTTAGAAGGCACTCAGGCAATCACCAAAAACTGGATTTGAAAGACGTCATGTGGCGCCTGAGGGCGCATCCTGCTCACTGCCTATCCACTGAGCTTCTTCCTTGCCAACTGAACCCCAATTTTGTCCCAGGCAGTGATGTGCCCATAGGTTAAAAATACTTACCTCTCCAGAATCCCTTGCCGCTAAGGGCAGTATGTGGCCTAGTTCTGGCCAGTGAGACATAAGAGAAAGTCTACTTGATGGGACTTCTGGGAAAGCTATTATTTTCCTTATCAATAAAAGAGTAAACTCAGTCATCCTTTTATTCTTGCCCCTCCCCTCTTCTTAGACAAGAGCCATATGCTAAGGATGGGAGTGAAAGAAGCTAGAAGCAACCATGATGATTCTTTGAGCCCTGAAAGATCTTCTGGCTTTTTACTACCTAGGCAAAAATAAACTCCTACTTGGTTAAGGCTCTGTGGGTGGGTTTCTGTTACTTGCAGCTGCACACAATTCCTAACAGATATACTCACCATCACGACAATCACCCATTGATTTAGACTCTTCATGCCTGACTTGACCTAGAATCCCCAAGATGCCTCACTTCTCCAGGTTAGACAACAAAGGTGGTTGCTTCCCTTCTAGGAGATTCTTTAATGGGCAGAGCTGCTTGGATGGGGAGAGCAACTCTCATGTTTTCACAAATAAATGTACTCTATTAGCTACTGGTCACTTTGAGGGCACAGAAAGCTGGACCCTGCAGGGAAGAGACACAGGCAAAGGGAGTAGATGGTGTCCAGCTATTCAAAATGCTTTTTTAAAAAAAACATGATGAGGCACATGGGAAATTTTCTGAAATTATTGTTGTGGCAGTTTCCTCTTGAGGCCTCAGGAAAGATAAGTCAGCATCAAATCTTGTTTTAAGGAGCAAGCACTAGGATCATGATGATAAGGACTGACAGTAATAAAACTGTACTTGTTAATGTGACCTCACTGTAAGAGGGTGTGTGCTTCTGGTATTGCTAGACTTCTTCTCCACAGGCCAGCAGTTGAGTCCGACTAAGTGCACTTCTGCCATAACAACCTTGGGGAGATGGACCACTGAGGAACAGAAATAGAAGGGCAGGTCGGTGATGGGACGAGAACTACAGCAAGAGGTCTGGGCCCAGACAGAAGTGATGCCTGAGGCTTCACACAGCCCCTTCCATCGTCCCTAGAAGAGAACTTTGACAGAGAACCAGTGTCGACATCTCTTGTTCCAAGACCGTCACTAATAACACTTTCTTTGCCAGCCACCTTCACTTCAAAGTGAAATACTGGACGAGGTGAATATCCCTCCTCGGTCTCAGAAGGAGGAAATAAGGGAGAACAAGGGATGGGTGCTTCCTTCCCAGACCCTTTAGCTAAAAATAAACCTGGAGTTAAGCGTTCAATTCACCCACCAGCTCGTGTGCGTTGGGATAAACCATATATCTCTGACTTTAATTCCCCTCATTGGGTCACAGTCCATGAAGACAACTCCATTTGGTTAAACTTATGATATTTAAAGAAATAAAGGCTAGCCTCTTAAAGTAAAATATCGAAAATGTACCATGACCATCCAGGTTTATCTGGAACTCAAAACTCAAACGTCCCCTATATGATGAGAAATGGGTCAGAATTAGGATGAGCAGGCCCAGAGAAGAAGCTTGCTGGGTCTGTTTTGATAAAAAAAGATCTAAATGCCACAGCGAGACCTTCCCATAAGCTTCATGGGGAAGGTCTTATTCCTTCCCCAAGCACAGTGTCTGTCACGTGGCAGATACTCAAGTTAATTAATATTCTGGTTACTCTAGATTGAAATTTTTCTCTGATGAGATTATGTCTCGGATAGCTCATTATCCCTGACAGATACAAGCACTTCTGCCATTGAGTGGCAGTGACCTTTAAGTGAAAAGATAAAGTTCCAAGAAATAAACTAGTTTAGGGGTACAGAGTTCAAATTACTTTGATATGACATTACAACCTCCACCGCAACTACTGCTCCTACTGCTGTAAGTGAGCAGAGCCCTGGCCAGCCTTGGTCACACCAGGTTACAGAATGTCTAGAATGACTCATGCCTTTCTTTTGTCTCAGGAAGACCAATTTTAATTGGTCCTTCAGATTAAAACCTTTTTCTTTAAGTAGCTTAACACCTTGGTTCAGGTCGCAGTCAGTTCTAGTCTAGCCCAGGAACACCTTTTCGGTGACAGCATTTCTCTGCTCAAATCTAGTTTTCATGGATATTTGAGGACAGGATATTTTTTCCCAGATTGTATGAGTTGTTTTTATTGACCCTCATTTAACATCTGTATTAGGTGATCCAGTCTTTTTAAAATGCCTCCACTCCAAATAAGAAAAATAACCAAGTATAAAAGGGTATACCAGAGGAAGAGTTCTAAATCCCCTACATGTTTAATATAGATGCACTTATAAATCTTTTTCTTCCTTTAACTGAATAAAAGTTCTGATAGATCAAAGAGATGTCATTGGTCTTTAAAACCAATTACCAATTGTTCTATGTATATTAGGTCACTTCCTTTCCCCATTCCTCTTAACAAGTATTCAAATCTGTCCCACTGTCCTCACATTCCTGATCTAATTTCCACCCTCTTACTTGGAGCAGGGTACCATGCATCCTAGGGCATCCCAAACCTGGAGGACATCAGGCTTCTTCTCCTTGGTTTCTCCATCTCCACACTACCACCTTTTCTGTATCTGTATCTGTTTATTGCTCAGGTTCACCCCTCCATCATGATGGTGCCCTTGACCCAATCCCCTCCATCAGTCACCTTCTCTCACCTTGACCTTCAGTTTCTTCCTCTCAACCTGGAAACATGTCAGCTTCCATGCGCCACATTCCCCTGCTTTGCTTTTGCTTTTGCTCTCTGAACATTACTTTCCCTGCCCCCTTTCCCATCCTCATTCTTATTTCCCTTCATACTAGGATTAAAGCGTCTGCTTTCCAGTTACAATAGAATCTACATTCTAGATACCTAGGTAACTTTATAAGTGGAATAAAATTACAAAAAAAGAAATGTTGGCAACGTTTAATTCATACACCAAAATACCTTCTCTAAATCTAATTTTGTTTGGGAAGGTTTATATAAAGCCTGTCCATCAGGTCCCATAAATCTCCTTTGTTCTCTTACAAGTCTAGTTGGCAGTACATTTTCTCTAAATAGAAAAGCACAGAACTCACAAAAAGCCCTAAATCCTTCCAGCATAATCTTATACCTATCTGTTTGCAAATATCACGATTAACAAAACTTTAGAAAATCTTTATTCTTGCCTTATTTTAGCAATTCATGGAACGTTTCCAAAACGATTTCATTCAGTGTTTTTTAAATTATTCTTTAGGGCTGTTTCAGTTAGTTCTGTTATTAATCCTGGACTCGTTCTGCTAAGTCTGCTTCTCCAAGGAAGAAGCAAATAGTGTCTGGACCCAGGAATAAAGGAGTAGAGATGTAAGATCACACACACAGCTCTCTTCTATTAACTACAGACTTCAGTGGCTCAGAGAATTTTCTCAGATCTGGTTAATTAGCTGAGAAACAGGCCCCTTTTTCTTAATTAAAACTACACGATTTCTAGGAGGAAAACCT